AATGATTTAAGCCTTCCAATGCTGCTTTGAGGCAAAAGAATAATATTAATCACCTGCTTAGCACCTGGGTGAAGGTGCAGCATTTTCAAGCCTGCATAGAAGGAACCAGAGCTCGCGGCTTCCAGATTTGTGTGCAAGTCCCTAGAAATACCTTATCCACATATCAACCTCATGGAAACAAATCTGCTTGCTTTCTTTGCTGCACTATATCCATAAAGCTATCAGAAATCATGCAGTCCGCCCCTCATTTAAAACCAGTAAAAAATCAGGAGCTCCTCTAATCACAGACTTGGACACATCGGTGTTGTCTGAAGCAAGACACGAGCCCTTAATGCTGGTTCCTGAAAGGCTTTTTAAAATCAACAGCGTCAGCACTGAGAAGACGCTGGGTTCTCTGGAGAAAGGCTTCAGGGAAAAATATTACTATTTTTGTAACACAAAAGAAAGAGATGTTAAAGTGAGGCCAACATTTAAATTTTATATTAAACCATATCTGCAGAATCGCAAGCCAGGCAAGAATCTCCTATTTTCACTTAAGATGTTAATTCCTAAATATAACTGTCCCAAAGCAGTACCTGCCTCCCACTAGTGCAGTAAGTGCAGAAACAAAATGAAAGTTTGTTCTTATTGATTTTCATTGTTCAAGCGGAAAGGCAACAGTAAATAAAACGTATACTGAGAATTGGGTTGTGATTTTGTTTTAAATGTCATATTCCAGACTACTTATCCTGTAAGAAATACGCTCCCTACATGGTATTTTTGAATTGAAAGCCTCTCCAAATACCACACTGAGGAAAGCAACAGGTCACAATCTCCCATGAGGAAAAGCAAACTCGTCTCAATAACCATGTCCAGGGTAATAAACACCCTGGAAAATTTTAATCCCCTGTAGGACATTAGCATAAAACACACAGAAAGGTGGGGAATGTTATTGAGTTGAAGATCTGGAGCACGGGATGGGAAGGGAGAAGGTGAATACACGTGCATGGGCACATGCACAGGGATTTTTGCTCCTGGGGAAACTTCTCAACCTTTTTACCTGCTGCTTTGAATCCAAGCCCAATGTTGTTACTCACTATTAGAGAGCAGAAAGGGAGAAGTGGCATGTTCTGAAAACAGAAGTCCTTAACATTGGATAAAAAGGAAAAAAATTAAGAAAAGCAGGTGCTGGAGGGTTTCTTGGCCAACTTTTACGAGAAACAAATTTCTGCCATGTCAGCTTTTTATTTCTTGGGCCAAAGCTGTGCACCACTGAAGGAGAAGGATGCTCCCATGAGAAGAGATGCACACCCGTCCCTCACTCTAACAGGACTAAATGTGAGGTCAAACTAAAGGGAACACCAGACAGAGGGCTCTATACTACTGATTTTCTGCTTTATACTCTCCTTCTAATAAAAAAAATAACAAAAAAGCCCCACAAATACATACAAAAAAAAGCAGCTGGCTACAGAAGCCACCCTCACTCCTTCCTCACTGATGTCCTGCTGCGGCTTCACTCTGTTTTATTACCTGATCTAATAAGCTCCATCCTCATTGGAATTTCCTTCACAGTCTCTTAGATTTAAAAGATTTAAAAAAGAGTAAGAAAAAACCTCTGTATATTTTGCCAAAGTAATATTAGTTCATTAAAATTGCAGAACTAGACATTTAAAAGCCAGGAAATGCAAAGAAAGCAGCCTAAGCAATTTTCGTGCAGTTGTATTATGACATGACCTTTAATTACTTGATTCAACAACACTTCCTTCTTCCACTGTTTTTAGCATTTAATCTCTTGGTTTATTTAAACAAATGGAAAATATTAATTCCTCCCTATGGGTAGCTCATGGGTCAACAGCAGAGCCCGAGCAGCTAGATCAACACCACAGGCCTCTGCACTGCTGGAGTTAATTAACTTACTGCTGCTTACAGGGACGTAACCCAATAGTGGGGGAAATCGGACACGAACTTGGCCATAATGATTTTCCCAGATGTTTGCTGAAACACGAGGCCTCGGGAATGACTTCAGGACACGCTTTGGATGAGCGTGCCCATTCCTAATGTGTCTTCTCCATGTGGGATTCCTTCTGACCCCATCCCCAGTGCCCACCCCGCACGCACCTTCTTCACGCACCACATTCTCCTCTAGCCTCAGATCATAATTACTCCAATTCTTGATTTCAAAATTGAAGCTAATGGAGAATTATTTGGTCTTGACAGGGGTTGGATGTGTTCTGGATCCCATAATTCCTCCAAGGATTCATAATTCAAATAAGATTTGAAGCAGATTCTTTTAATCACAGGCTCCATAAGCTGCAATTACAGCAAAACTGATCCTATTGCCCCTGCTTAACAGCAGTGAATATTATAAAGATGCCAGAACTTGGACAGATCATATTGAAAGCTCATTTGTGTTACTCTTGGTGGATTTTGAATCAGAAATACAATAAAATAAATAAATAATAATTAAAAAAATGAAAACGGGCTTTTTTTTTAAAAAAAAAAACTTCATATAAATATAAGCTGTCATGAAATACCTTTGCATCTTGTTCACTGGGGAAAGCTGCCATTCTTATATTAATAATTCTTTCCAGCATTACTCAGTCATTGCACATTAGAACCAGCAGCTGGAGTGTTTTGAGTGATAATGAAACCTGTAACAAGCCATCTTCAGCTGTCTTTTCCAAACAATAAGGGAATTAAAATTTCAATTTAAATGCAGAGGTTTGAAACACGCTTCAGTGGCAAAATTACTTCAATTAATGTGAGTGGAATACAAAGGACAGACTGCAGAAAGGCGATGCAGCAACCAGAAATTATGCCATTAGTGGGCTTGCACCGGCCCAACACGACGACTGCAAAGGTCTAATTTTGCCTGTACGTATCACAAAGCTACAGGCAACGTTATTAATCAGTGCTTCAATTTCAACGTGAGGGATCCGAGCTCCTTGTCAGATCGTTTTGGGCTTTTTATAAGCCATGAGCAGCTGTTTACCTTGAGGAAGGAAACAAAAGGACAGAGAGCTATAAACACCCAGCATCCCTGACAGTTTAAGAATTATTTTACACAATGTTCAGAGCAGAGAGGAGAGGGGAATTAACCAGCAGTGAGTGAGGGATTACAACATCACAGCATGGCAGAGGCAGCCTTAGCAGAAAATGGCAAAAACTAATGAGTCCACAGCAAATTCTAACCATTAAAAAGCTCCAAATGCAGGTAAGTTACTGATACACTTGACTTTTAACAGTAATACTTTATAATCCAGACATAAAATTAATTATTCCTCTGGAATTTTCCTTCTGACCTTTTTTGTCCCTCCAAAATACTGCTAAATCAGACTACTTGGCCTTTCTGCAACTATTCTTTACTAGCTATTTGGCACATGATCTTGATTAGGAAAAGGAAGCACCAATTGGATAACATGTGGATTGCCATTGCTGTTAATCCTTACAATTAGGTGGGAAAATGTAAGACAACAGTTAGACAAAATTAGAAGGAAAGGGAGAACCTAAGAAGAATAAGATTGAGAGGGTTCCTGGAAGATGATTTTAGAAAGGAAGAAAGGGAACATTGTGACTAAATTACAGAAATAGGATCACACTAGATGTAGCATGAAAAATAAGCATGAGCAACAGAAGAGAACAGGAAGGTGAAGAATGGCTGAACTCAGGCAAGAGATTATAACAGCAACAAAAAAATCCACACAGGGTTACTTCAGCCATCACCAAAATGGGTATCAACTGTTGAAGATATTTCACAGGAAAGTGGGAAAAATCAAGTTTTAGAAAGTCACATTTAAGGTAAAATGAGTGAAGCCAGAAAGAAGGGAATTAAGGGAGATTATTCACCCTAGGAATGACAACACTAGGATTACCAGCTCTTGATCCTGCTCAATAACGACTTGGTAAAAAGAAGCAAACAGGCACTGAAATACAAAGGACAGCAAAGTTGACCATAATAAAAAGAAAAAAAGGCAATGAAAAGATTTCTGACAAGGGATTATCTGAAAAAGAAATACAGAATATTAAACGTATCCCTTTTTCGTTAACTTTCACTTCAAAAGACTTTACTTACTGGTATAAGGCAGTTTCCAGAAGGAAAAAACTAAAGACTGGCAAGGAAGCATGTTTAGTGAGTTTAGAGAGAACAGAAGAAAGAAAAGGGCAATTATTAGAGAGGTTTAAGAAACTTCCCTCTCCAACACAAGACTGAAATTGAAAGGTGTGGAGTAAGAGAAATGGAAATGACAAGAAACAAGAGAAATCACTTGAAGAGAAGGAGAAAGATGAGAGAGAGCTGGAAATATCAAGAAAGGATCAAGAATTCTGATAAACAGAGGAAAAGAAGGTGAACAGAGCTGAATAGTAGGGAAAAAAAACAGTCTCTCTGAATAGTTGACCAAACTTGTGACCATATTTTTGGGAGATGAAATAGGACAAAAATGGAATTGTTCTTCCACAAAGTGAGTTAGTTTTGAGGCAATTACTAGGATATGGAGAAAGATGATGATCGAAGCAGGTGTCTGGGAAAGTCATTCTAAATAAAGGACAGTGAGTTTAGATGATGTAGCATAGAAAATGCAGTCAAGAGGATGTTTAAAAAGAAGCAGAGAGATCAGAGAAAGTGTTCACAGAAAGTCAGTAGAGAGAAAAACACCAGGTTGCAAAAGCAGGAAGAAATCCTATGCACAGGCCAAATGGATGCGGAACCATCTGGTTATGGAAAGAATCAGGATCGGGACAAAGTAAACAAGTGAGGATCGTTTCAAAAAGGAGAAAATACAAACAAGAAATAATGAAACAGGATAAGAGTGACCCCAAATTCATGTCAGAAAAGAGCAAGTAGAGAAAAGGCATAAATGGAAATTCCAGGATGGGAAAGCAATGGGTGACAGAACAAGACAGAGGAGAAAAAACTAAGGAAAAAAGGCAAAAAACACCAGCACATCTGCCTGGAAATGATCAGACAGATAACGAGTGTGTTTCTGGGGGGCAGCTGCCCAGCACGAGGCACCACATCTTACCAGCATGTCCGTCGCATTGAGGTAGTGCTTGCTGGCCATGCACTGTTCCAGCTTCTGGGGCACTTGCTTGATGTTTTCTATCTCGTCCAGCAAATTCAGGACGTGCTTGTGCTCGATCCCTTCGATCCACAGCTTGCGCAGCTCGTCCCGCTTGCAGTGCAGCAGCATCTTGCACGACAGCAGATTCTCCTTCACCTACGAGCAGCACATCCAAGGATCAGTTAATCTGTTCCTCGTACTGGAATCGGTAACAAATCCGTTTACTCCAACATTCAATGTGAGGAATTACAAAAGCAGCACAAGGCAATAGTCAAATCCAAATGCACTGTCTGGTTATTCCTTGATATAGAAGCAGTCATACAGTACGTACAAACAGGAAAACAACAAAATACAAACAGGAACTGCTTTTGAAAGGAAATACATTTTAGCTCAACTTTATACTGCCAGTGAAAATTTAACTGGAGTATCGTAACATGAAAAAATGTATGTTGTTACCAAACACAACCAAAGACTTTAGTGCAGTTTTTCCAGCTCTCAATTCAGTATTTAGGTATCCAGCAACAACCTTGTTCAGTAAAAGCAAGTAAGTCATTGCTAACTTGCCTCTTGTAAACGTTTTCCATCTGCCTGTTCCATCCCATGCCACGTTTCCTAGCCCTTTCTCCAAGTTTCGAGTTCATTTTAACAAAACCTGACTACCCAATAGTGTTCACTACCTCAGGCAACACCAGTTTTGCTGGCATGAAATCAGGATTCACCAGAACAGCAGTTAAGATATAGTTCATCTCAGCAATTCCATCAGACACGAAAGCCATCACAGTACCTGGAAAAACAAGCAAAGTCCATGCTGTCCCATCCCACCCTAAGGAGAAGCATCAAGGAATTTTCTTTGCCATTCTCTAGACCAAATCTACATTGCTTGCTTTTAATTTCTCCAAATATCCTACCAGAAGGTCAGTACAACCTAGCTTCTCCTGTAGAATGCAAACCAATAACCACATATTAAAATACGAAAGCAATTAACACAACTTCACACATTGCTTTCGCACGGCTCTTGTTTCCATGATAAGCTAGGAATACTCAGGGTCTAACCTTTTGTCAGCTGAACTCTCACTGAATTGCACATGAGGAGAGACTCAAAGCAGGCCCTTCAATTCAACTTTAAACACTGGGTCTTTAAAGCGCTTCAACAGCCCTACCCTGTCCATCTAAAGGCACTTTGCAAAGCACCGAAACACAGACCAAGACACAGTGCTTAAGAACAGCCTCATAAGCCGGACTCCATCAAGAGTTGGAAGCGACTGAGATTACAGTTTAATAACACAACGTTCTGCAATGTCTTTCCCGAAAGAAACCATGAAACTCAGCAAGTTCCCAGCCAACAGAAAAGCCAATGTGAGAGCGGCAGAACTTGCTACAAAGGCAGAAGCAGGCTAAAAACCAGAGTGTGTTTCAGACTTCAGCTCTATTCTTTATCTTAATTTAAAATGTTTCATGGACCCAGCCCACATCGTCACCACTTGACTGCTGCTACACAGTGCAAAATTTGGTCCGAGACACATTCAAAGCCATCCCTGGCAGGGGACTGAAATGTTCCCCTGTGACAAAATAGAAAGGTGACCCAAAAGTTTGTTTTGACTAACACAATATTTTTCATTTCTACCTGTTAATAATTCAATATAAATATTTTTTTCCAGATTAGGGACACTAGCATTGCTAGAAGTATTTTTGTTTCAAATAGAACAAGCGAAAAAACCCACAAAACCACAGAGCTAGAGGGAGCCTCACACTATTCTGACTTTGCAATCAGATCAACTCTATCTGCGTTAGGGAGTTGAGGAAAGGACTAAACTGTAAATCAATAGAATTTGGCAAGTCCAGTTGCTTTTCCTTAATAATCCAGTTTTTCAGCGCCTCAGTAAGGCTTTCCCAACAAGAACACGTAGAAGAACTGAATGCAAAGAAAAGGCAGATAATTCAGATTTCTACATGTATCTACCACTGCTGCAAAAGTGATTCCTAATCCAGGATGACGCCTATGTGATCATCCACCTCCCACAAGAGGGGAACATCAAAAGGGACTCAATATTATAATACAGATTGGTGACAAGCAAGATCTGGTGCCTCTCGTGAGGTTAGGTCAAAGTTACTTCTATGTCCATGGATCAAAACTAATAAGAAAATTTAAGTATCAAAAGGTCCTTCACCCTCTTACAGTCATTCCCGTAGCTGAGACCAAAAGGTCTCACCTGTACATGCTGGTTTTGACCTCTGCAAAGCTTAGTAAACTGGATGAAAAGAGGTTACAGGACAGGTTACTTCAAATTCAGTGCAATTGATCTTTGTTTTCCAAGTGCTGAGCTTTGTGCATAAATCCTAAAAGGAACTCTTACCCTGGTAAGAGTCAGAATGGCCTCACTCTCTTTTGAAAATGCTAAATGGATTTCAAAAGCCAGAAAGGTCAGGGTACATTCCCAGAATGGTGGCAGCCTATTGCTCCTAAAGCACCGAATGCTAAATGGATTTCAAAAGCCAGAAGGGTCAGGGTACATTCCCAGCCTAGGAGCCTATTGCTCCTACAGCACCAAGCCCGGAAAAACAAAAATTAAAAATATATATATGTTTTTGAACCTGGTTTGCAAAGTTTAGGTACACCGAACCGCAGAGGAAATAAATGATAAACAGGAGACAAAAGAATCATCTCTTGCTGCAGAGAGCGAGCAGATGGAGCAAGCCCACAAAGAGGACCCGAGTTATTTATTGGCACAGGACTCAAGTGTGAGCACTTGAAACGCAGCAAGATCTAGCAGCAAGTTCATGCACAGTCACACAACAGAGCTGCACAAGGAAAAGGCACCAAAATTCATATTCGCTGTGGAAAAATAAAAAGCAGGCTGATGAGTCACCCCGACTATCTATTTAAGAGGTAGTTGGAAGCCAACATATAAAGACCTTAACAGATTAAATGCACAGGCGTTAGGTTAGCAGCCCCTAGACTTCAGAAACCCAACAGCAACATGCCCAGACAACAAACGAACAGAAAGGAACATAAAGCTTTGCTCTTTGTATCCACCTCTCATTTTACTTATTAATTGCTTGCGTTCTCAAACTGCAGAGACCCTATGGAAAACTAGACATAGCCTGTGACGACTGTTTTAGTACCAGATCTACTTGTAGCCACGTCAGGACAGACACAAAAAGCAGCTCTGTTTCATAGCTAGTGGCTAAAAGTGTTTTCTCGATTCAATTTTTAGTTCAGTTCACATTGATTACAGGCAGCTGGAAAAAGAAGAGAAAAATACAGCTTAAAATGTGAAATCACAGAATCCCAGAATGGCTGAGGTTGGCAGGGACCTCTAGGGATCACCCAGTGCAGCCCCTGCTCCAGCAGGGACACCCAGAGCACGGGGCACAGGGTGGCATCCAGGCGGGTTGGACATCTCCAGAGAAGGAGCCTCCACAGCCTCTCTGGGCAGCCTGTGCCAGGGCTCTGGCACCCTCACACCAAGGAAGTTCTTCCTCACATGGACATGGAGCTGCCTGGGCTTCAACTTGCACCCGTGACCCCTTGTCCTCACGTCATCCTAATATGAGTAAGCTAAAAATAAACATGGAAAAGAGGCAAGAACTGCACAACCTGGTACCTGCTCACCCTACACGTCTGGAAGAGCACCTAGATGCTGGATGCAAAGGGGGCCACGCAAACAGAGTTAGTGGTCACCTGCTTGATCTTGTTGCGCGAGTTGGTGATGCGCTCCGTGATGCTCTGGTAGGTGCGGATGGCCGTGGTGAGCTCGGTGTAGTGCTGCACGATGAGCTCGTCCAGGTCCCGGTCGCACTTCTCGTAAGCTTCTTCCAGGCGGCCCTTCTCGGTCTCGCGGTCCTGGACATCGTCGCTGGTAGAGAGGGTCCTGAGGACAAAAAGGATTACGAAGATTGGAACAGTTTGAAGTTGTCTACAAGCCCTATTATTGGTCTTCATTGAGGGGGCATTATTTCTAGGAAATGTGCCTGCTCAGTATTTAGTAGAGAGCAATGCACTTTGAAAAAGCAACCCCCTCAAATCACAAGCTTTTTATTGAATCTTTGGTTTTTCAAATGTTTCAGAGCTCTTTTACTACACCACAGATTTATGAAAAGTTATCAATTAGCTACTCTACTTCTCTTTTACTACACCACAGATTTATGAAGAGTTATCAATTAGCTACTCCCAGACACCCTTTAATATGGGCTAATGTAACACCTGAAACATATCTGTTGATTCAGAATTTCATCTTTAAACTTAATATTTCAGACTGAGAGACCTTTGCAACCACTAGGAGTTCTGCAGTTGCTACTACTCACCAACCAGAAGTACACCAGGAATAATATAGGTACATAGGAAAACGCAGTATAAACCTGCTCATTCCTTGCAGCACTCAATCTGCTTTCCAAAATGCCCCCAGTAGAGAGAAGAAGCATCATGTTCCTCCCTCATGCTTCTTTCCTTAACCTCCAAGTAAGATCATCTAATGCAAATAGTGTAGGGTGTTTTTGTTTTGAATCGACACAGTTGGAGATTTCAACAAGGCATACTTTAAAATTCAGTAAATCAAGAAAAGTTTCTTGCAACTACTGCAGATTTCTCAGATTTACCTATGGATCAAGGACAAATTCCTCTTTCTTGCTCCCTCTCCCTTCACCCCCCACCTTGGCCTTCATGTTAGGCCCCAATCAAGCTGAAATCAGCATCTCCAGCAGCCATGGAAGCAAGAAAATGTCAAGTTTCCTTGGAGTAACTGTGACCTGTCATCTACAATAATGATCAGAAAGATATAGTTACTTGCATATCAGTGAAAATTAAATCACCAAAGGCCAGAAATATATTTTCCTATGGTTTCTTCTTTGACAATCAGTGGGACATCAAAAAAGGCTGCTATTTTATAGAGTTTATTGAATTCTGAAGTACTATACAGAAAGAAGCAAGAACTCAAGTGGAAAAGCTCTCCAATAAATGAAAACCTCATATTTACACAAGAAATGCTCCCCTCTCTCGGCAAGGCAATAGAGATGTAACTGAAATTTCCAGTTCACGGCTATTCCTCCCTTCCAAGGGAAACAGCAGGCTGTGCCACCTACTCAAGGGCTCCATCTTCAAAACAAAACAACAAAAAAAGCGCCATTTCGCAGAGGATCGTGATCCTAAAAAGAGCAGCTAAGAACACTCAAGTGAGCAGGGAAATCTGTCCCGCCATATGGAACATGGCGGGATGGGAGGACACTTGTCCTACTCGGCTGCAAAGGAGGACTGAGGAGTTGAAGTCACAAGGTGTCCTGACCCAGGATGAAGCAGCCACGTGGTGCATCTCCTGGGGGACCTGCTCTGGATGCCCCTGCTTGAGTGACAGGCTTGGACCCGATGATCTCCAGAGATCGGGGCCAGCGCTCACTGTTCTCTAGTTCTGTGTTATGTTAAACAATTTTCACACTCCCTTTCACTCTCGTATGGCGGTGGCAGGAGGCCTTAGCAGATACCACATGGAGATGAGAAGAGATCCTCTTTCCTTTGCTGTGCATCAGACTACGAGGACAGACTCCTCGCTTCGTCCTCGCCTCTCCCAAATACTGCACGTTTTACAGGGCTTGTCTTCTTGCTCCAAGAACCTACAGCACCAAGACCCCAGACAGACCTCAGACTGGTACTGCAGCTTCCTCTGGGGCATAAAACTTGGTATTTTAAGTGCCGTGTTTCATGGTACCTACAGAAATGAGATTGCTTTCTATTGCCATTATGTGTTTTTTTTAATGCCTCCGAAAGTCTTAGCTGTGCCTTAATTCAGGTTCCCATAAAAAGGGGTATTTTTTATTATGTACTACATGGTAAGAACCTTAATATCATGCAAAAAAGGGTCTGCAAGAAAAGCAAGAGCAGTGGCACAGCAGTTAGAAAACATGCTTGGCATTACAAAATCTGGATTAAAGCCTCTGCTGGACTGCAGACTTCTGACATAGCCTTACAGCTCTCCTACACTGCAGACTGCTACCTGAAGAGCAGAGCATGAATTACCCAGAGCTCAGACTGCAGAGCCCTAAATTCTGCTTAAGCTAATGTAAATAGCTCTGTATTTCAGCAGAATAGGCTAAGGAGACAGATCTGTGTCCTTCTGCCCCAGTTTCTCTTTCTCACCTGGGATATAATGGGGACTGGCTCAAACAAGCAAGCTGTGATTACACAGAGTACTTCCGAAGCACTCCAGCACTGTGTTCGCAGAGGTCATGCGAACACTCCCAAAATAACGCCTGGAAATGTGTTAGAAAGCAAAATTAACCATGGAGTTAACACCACAGTATTAAGTATACAGTACTTGTGAGACACAGTGAAGTTTGGGTTCATTCTGTAACATTAATAGGAAGTTAAATTATTTGTTCAATAGCAAATCTGGCTTCATTAGGAGTTCCTGCAGGGGAACATGCTGTATTTGTGCAAAACTGCTTATCTTTCCTCGAGGAATTTTCTTTGACATGGTTACACACTAGACGTTAATGCATTTCTCTTTTAAGGAAGCGACACATTGTTTGGGCTTGAAACTAAACAATATTGCTCGTCTCAGTGATTAAAGAAAACATCGATTCTCTCTAACCTGAGTTATGGATTGCAGGAGAATCATGGATCGGTACAGACAATACGGAAGCTGAACAAAACGGGCCTATTTCAGGGATTCGAAAATTTTAGTTCAATTAAAAAAAATAAACAAAAGCTCAAAATTCTTGGTCTACCTACCCCATTCAAGACTTACTTGTCTGGAATGGCAGGACGAAACAACAGCTAAAGATTTTTTTCTGGAAGACTAAGATCCTGTTCTGTCAGAGGATACTGCAAACATCTTTAAAGCTCCTCTCCAACTGAGGCTTCTCAGCAAATTCCTGACATATTCAGATTTTTATGCAGGTTCAAACTGTGCTGCTCAGTTGTTTTTGACCTTGCAATTGCATCAAAGGGAAAAAAAAGGGGGGGGAAATAAAAAGTTTAAAGCCACTAGACATTTGCACAGCCAGCAATTAGAGGTTACAACCAGAGCTTCAGAAACCAACTAAACATTAGTTTCAATCACCACTTTGTTATTTTTCCACTTATATGCACAGTAAACAGGTGGAATCACCTCCAAGAGAATCAAGCTTTAGAGGAAATAGGCTGTTTTGGTGAGCACTACCCTCTAAGCTCCAAAGACCTCTCCCTAAATCCATAATCCAGGCAGCAGCACGAAAACACTACTGGTGCATATCAAGAAACAGAAATACAAATACAGAGGGATCAAAGTCCAGCTCCATCCAACCTCATTTTAGGCATGTTGGCTGTACACTTATGTCTTTCTCCATGTTTACAGTTTTCTGAGAACTTAAGGTAACATGCAGAAGTAGCCTTGGATCCTCAAAAGATGTTGGTTCTCATCAGAAAGGATACTGAGAAGGAGAAAAAGGAAGCACTTTCTGCTGTGTAAAACTTACTGTGCCCATATGTTGGGTAACGGGCACATGGTCTCCCGTAGAAGGCATCTAAAAAGGGCCATGGAGAAGAAGTCGTTCTCTGAGGTGACACCAAGAAGGTCGAGACGCAACAGTGTAAGAAAAAGCTCCCAGGGGATACGAGTGAGGTTTGCAGAAAGCACCGAGAAGTTAATATTAATGCACACCAGTTCTTCACTCAATCATGCAGTATTAGGACTAGTGGCACTTGTGAAAATCAACAGATCATTTTTTAAAGGTGTAACTTCCTCAGAAGAGCTGTGGACTGTGCTGCAGAACTGCTTCATGCATCCTAGAGACTTGCACTCCCCAAGGACAAGAGCATTAGACTCTTAAATTAATATATTTCTAGGCTACGATCCCAGCCTGCCGCTTCCCTGGAATCCAGTGGAAGCTCCAGACCAAGTCGACTGCTCTGCTCCAAGATTTCCAGCTGGCTCTGTTGGATGGGGCAGCTGGGAAAACTTTCTAGACTTAATACCTGCAGTGGGAATCTGTAGTTTTCTGTAATTACCTGTTTGGGGAAAAATATTGTGGAATCAAGCATCACAAAAAATATCACACCTATTTTTCCCCAGAAAACTTAGCTAAATTTAGTATCTTTTACTCTGCATTAAGGGACCACTTACTATGCCAGAAGATCTAACTAATTCTTTGTGTAACAAAGAACTCAAGCCTAAAAATTTCCCCACACAAGCCCCAGTACGAGTTTGCCTTAAATATCTGCAGATGATTCCTCTATAGAGACAATAAAAGTCACATGGAAGATCTTAGGGAAAAAAAAAGAATCAACATCAGAGACCACTTTTTATTTCCTTTACTGAAAAAACATAGTGTTTCAGAAGGGTCTGTTTTCCATTTTAGGACTTGGTTATTTCCAGTCATTACAGGAACGTGCACTGACAGCCAGGGAACAGAAGAGGAGACACAAGTGATCCATCCCATGCCCACGTACTTAAGACGTCGCAAACAGCACTTAGAGAAAGGCTAGCCCTTTTTTTTTTAATGGTTTTGAATGGCAATACATAAATAAGACAAAATGATGTCATTTCAAGTCAAAACGCCAGAAATGAGCATGCCAGAAAACTGAGAATGCCTTTTCTGGTTTTTCCTATTCTTTATTTTTTTTTTATCTATTATTTAGGGAAAAGATTAAAACTTTGCCTCTGTTTCCACCACGTCTACATAAATAAGACAAAATGATGTCATTTCAAGTCAAAACGCCAGAAATGAGCATGCCAGAAAACTGAGAATGCCTTTTCTGTTTTTTTCCTATTATTTTTTTAATCTATTATTTGGGAAAAAGATTAAAACTTTGCCTGTTTCCACCACGTCTGTAACGTACCAATTTCCAGGATGCATCTGCAAGAACTACCAGTACTTACAACTGTTCACAGCCACTACTAGGACCATTCTGCTCCTGTTCTTCCCAAGTTGCTGCATTCATTGGCTACACCCTCATTTTACCTACTTAAACCAAACCTAACAGACTGCATTCTCCCTACTCCAATAATTCCAATATTTCCCTCCTTCAAAATGACATTAAATCATTGCAGACTAGGAGCAGCTGTAACTCCACAGCACAGCAAAGTCACTTTGAATTTGAAACATTAGCTTGTACACCTGAATTCCCCATCTACGCCCCTTGGTGCGGGAGCTGGTCTAGCTCTGCGCAGCAAAAAGCGAGGCAAGGAATACTTAATATTCCGGAGATTGTACATGTTCTTGCTAACACTGCAGAAAAGTAAGCCAAGGGCATCTTTGCTTGCTTCAGTTCTATTAAAACGTGTGGCAAGGAAGAAGAAAAGTCAACACGCTGTTTGCCAAGTAGAAATGATGAAAATTGGGAAAGGAACTTTGCAGGGAGAACTTTGAAGGGGGAGTAACAAGCATGAACAGATTATGACACAATGATAAATATACATCAGTTTTTTAAAACCTCCTGCAGAGCAAAAGCATTTAAAATACATGACAAAAATAAGATGCAGCAATCTGGGTACCACGTCTGCATAGGGTATGAACTCGGTGAGGATCTTCAGTCGGGTTCCCTGCTCAGCTCGCTTGATTTTTCATTTTGGTTTTTCTAAACGAGAACCCGCCCCTCCTGTGAGATACCTGTAATTTACACTTGACAGCTGGATGGCTGCAGATGTCTCTCTCATTAGCAAGAGCTCAATAGGATTAGAATAATTCCAACTGGATGTTAGTCTGTTAAGAGACAGTTTTATGCTATGGTAGAGCAAAAATTCATTGAGCCAGATCTCATTGACTTCTGATTTTACATAGTTAAAAACACAGATTACATCAAATGCAAAATGCTTCATTCTCCAGAGTCCCTTCCACATAAGGTAGATGGGACGGAAGATGATCAGAGAAGATCTCTGAAACGTTTTTATCATGGGATGTACAACATATTTCATACAAGAAGAAACCAAATCTTGTTTACTTCCCCCAAGGTCCATGAATCTACACTGGAATTAGATTAATTAAAAAAAAAGTCCATTAGGATTATTCATTTCAGTAGAATTTGATCTTTCTATTGCAGATATTTTTCATCTGTTTTTCAGCACACAAGTCAAATAACTAGCACAGGCAATAGATAGAGAGACTTCAAGGGAGTCCTCAAGCACCATCATTCAGCAAGATGCTTAAAACCTTAATCCACTCACTACAACAGCTCCTCAAGGAAAGAAGTATTTGTTTACCAAAGGTAAATATTTTTTTTTGATCAAATTCAATTCCCATCTCTAGCATTTCAGCAATGTCCTGGAATGCTGGAGGAATCCCTGGCTCCAGAAGAATCCTCCTATCCTAGCGCTATAGAAGAAGGAACAGGGCACTTCAGATACACCAGGACCCAGAATTTTATGACTGTTCATCTACAAACAGCCCAACACAGTATTTAGAAACAGCTACAGAACCTACTGGAGTCACTAATTTTTTTTTTTTTCCTCCTAGGACTTCAGAGACTCCATGTTTTTCTCTCAGCCACAAAACAAGATACTTCTGCTACTAGAACACTAAGCAGCTTCAAGAAAGTCACACCAAGTCTCATTTCTGGAGCAGAGAAAATGCTGCAGCCTATAGGGTTATTTATGGTAGAAAGAATTTACAGTTCTTTGAACATACAACACATTAAGCAGGGAGAGAGGAAATTACATTAAACAGTGTCAACAGCAGCTAACTAGCACCAACTGACTCCATAAACTATAATCCAAGTTACTCGCACACAACAAACAGTGTTGGCCATTTCTTTTTGCTTTGACAAGTCAGTATTTTTAACAGCCCTGACCAAGAACCAGGGTACTGGACTTCAGAGCTGCTACACAAGCCCATCGCTTCCGTAAGCTCTGTCCCGCCGTGCGCTGCAGCCGCTTTCTTTTGTGGGGTGAGTGAGAAAGAAAAAGGAGGAAAGAAAAAGGTTGCCAACTCTTCAGCATTGAAACCATGCAGAAAAAGAAAAGAGGCATAAACAGGGATGATTTAGAAGAAAACAGCCCATAACACAAGATAATAAATTTCTTTCATTGCTGTGAACTGAAGGAACACAATGTTTACCAAGCTATTCAACAGCAACAGAAGAAAATAGAGCCATTGTGCTCCACATCACACGGCACAACAGGCAGCTCCGGGAGCAAAGCGGTGATGGACAGAGAGGATGGGCTGCGAGCTATGAGGAAATGCACCTGCCTTCGAACCGGGGCGATTCCGAGCTTCAGCTGCTCTCCAAACCCACAACAGGTCTAACAGCACAGACCCCAGCTCCAAGGAACTTGGGTGAGTATTCGGTGTAATATCCATGCTGCCCCATGTGCGCACAGCTCATCTACACCCACCAAACACCACAAAATAAGCCAAGATGCGAATTAAACGCACAAGTCTGCTCAGTCCCCGTATGACCGAGTTCGGGCAGACTGAGATTCACACGGGCAGTTTTGAAGTGGTGCTTATACTGGGAGATCCTGGTGCAAAAAAGCCTTTGGGAGGTCAGTCTGAGCAGCCGCTATAGTCGGTTATCATGTTTCTGTGCATATTTTATATTCAACAAGGAAAAAAGCTGATAGTGAGCCTGCAAATATTCAGTTTAGAAAATTAATGTTAATTTAGCACCTGCAAGAGGTCAGGCAGTTCTTGTGGGGATACGAGACCCCATTTGCAACAGAGGAGCATTTAGGCCCTGCTGCTTTTCACTGCTGCTGTGGGTTTGCAGCATTAGAAAGTTCCTGTAGAGCCCCATGTGCTCTGCCTCCCCAAATCAGAGCAGACAAACATGCAAACATTTGCTGTTAGAGGAGAAGAGCATGAGAGGATGAACAGCTGCAATCTGGAAATGCAGGAAGAATCTTCCATTATTTCCACATCAGGCTTCTTTAAGCATGAAGTTCACCTGTCTTCACTGAGGATCCTGCTCTGTGTTGCTTACTCAAATAAAAACGCTCATTACACCAAAAGGGAAAAAAAATACCGAGCAAATCAACTTTAAACATTTTTACCTGATGAGGAAGATAAGCACGTAAGTGTAACTGAACCATGTGCTGAAGCACTGAGGCGAGAAGGTAAATCTCCAATTTTCCCAGCATTTCCCAGTAAACTTTGTGCCACCTGCACATACACCTTGTTCTGCACTGCATCACACACCTTGTTAAACCCACCAGCTCCTCACTTCAAAACAGATTTGATCCTATGACAACACAGTTGAGCCTGTGGTATCTACACACACAGAACACAGCTTGGCTTAAAGCTTCTTTGGTGAGAGCTAAGGACAATTTGCAAGTGTGGCCAACTTGGGAGACCCACTGGGGTTGTTTTAAGTGAGGAGAAAAGATTGCAGGGTCAGAAATTGTGCTGCGTAAAGAAACCTCTTAGCCAGACTGCAACCTTGGGCAAAATCTGAAGTTCAAGGGATACAAGTGGATCCACCCCTTGTGGGGAAATTGTAACTTGTGAAAAGCCTGGGTCACTTTGGCTAAGCTGAAAATAAAGTTAGAATAATAATTCTTACTGTCCATCTTGGAGATCTGCAGATAAAAGTACTCAATACTGCATATGAGACTACAAAAAACTATCCTCAATATTTTCATGATGTAGCAGATATGTTTGCATCGCTGTGACCAGTAAAACAAATCGTGCAGCACTGCAATTATCAAAATCATCTGCTAGGAAGAAAGCTTAGAGGAGGTGTTTGTGTTCCACCCTCCCACTTGCACTATACCAATGACCTAAAATACACATCAAATCTTGAAAAGCCTCTGTGAGATAAAGAATAATAAAATAAATAAATAAATAAAAAGCACAGTCTTTGCCAACACAGGCAACTAATTTGTGACCAACAAAAGATTCCTGGAGAAAATAAAAGAGTTGCCAGAAGCAGCACAAATCATCTCAGTAGAACCCTGTGGATGCCTAGAAAGACCAAGTTCCTCTATGCAGGAAACAGCTGCAACATTCCTAGGAGACTTCTGTGTTGAAAAGGAAAAGAAAAACATTATTAGAATCGAGTTATTTTTCAAAAGGCTTCTGTTGGATGACCATGACAACAGCCAATTACAGTATTTGCTTGACTCTCCCAGGTTAAACCTTAGTGGGCACCTGCACTGCCCTCACATCTGGAGGGCAACCACAGAGCTGCCCATGGAGATCCAGATGAGGAACGCAAAGTTCCTGGGGGTAGGAAACCTCAACATCTAATGCCCGCTACCCATTCTGATGATCTTTACCAGAGACACTTTATTCAGTATCTTCCTTTATCTATCTTTATTTAGACAGTGAGCTAATTAGAACAAAATGAAACATTAAGAAAGGAAACATTAAAATAGCTAAAATTCCCTCCTCTTTCCCCCAAAAAATCCTTATTTTTGTCGACATAAAAGTGTAAGGAGAAAAATATTGTCTGTAGCAGTTAAGAGTATTTTCTTGTATCCCATGTTGTGCTATGGCCCATGTGCCAGCGGGTGATATCCCGTAAGTAGCTGCACTTCAACAGGGCACAAGGAATAAATTTGCCATGTGCCAGCGGGTGATATCCCGTAAATTTTGTGCAGCATCCCAGGAGCAGAACAGCTGTATTCCAGCCCACTGTCTATCCTGCTCTATAATTTTCCAGAGCTTCATTAAACAGACTTATTTGAATTTTATAATTGAAAACTGTTGTCTTTAGTTTAAGTCCCAAACGGGGTGATCTACAGCTTGCAGCACTATTTAACCTCAAAATGCAGTCTGATAATACCTGTTTTGAAATCCCCACAGAGTCTTATTGAAATCATTGCAAAAAAGTTGCTTCCTTATGAAATAAAAAACAGCCTGACACCTTTTGATTTTTTTTTCTTCTTCCTAGAGTGTATTTAACATTTTAAGCTGGTAGCAACATTTAGCTGGTAACTAAACATTCTATCATTATTTTCAGGGGTTAGTGGATTGCTCCTACAAAATTTTCATTTGAGGAAATGTATCAAAACGTTCAAGAGAGAAACCATGCAATTCAGGGAGACAATGAAATGCTGGACAGGAGGTAGCCAAAAATCACATGGTGCAACTCCATAGACAAGAAAAATGAAGTATTAAACTATAGTATGAGAACAAACTATAAAATTACAAAGGATCTTCCTCTTTTATAAAGAGGTGAAATCCCAAGGTCTGTGCTCTCCATCCTCATCAAGGGGTGCACAGGGTACCCAGCTTCCAGATACGCAGGTCTCAGATTTGCAAATGAAAATAAATAATTCCCTCTTTCACCACAAGAAAGAGAACTGACTCCTCAAACTGTTGTTAAACACACAAAACAAACAATGCATTTTAAAACATTTCCCTCCTCTGATTACATTCTATTAATCTTTCATGCTGCTTACACAGTTGCTCAGAACATTTTCAACAGAAATTGATGATCTTTTCATTATGGAGGATTTGCAGATTTGCACACAATAGCTTTAGTGAAAAGGCAGAGCAGCCTTCAGCTGTTTAAATAAATATCATCAGAACTTTCTTTGTTTTGCCAAATTAAGCAGCCTTTAATCAAATTTCCCCATGCCAGCACAGAGGATGCATCTGACTTCTTCAGCTAGCTGCATCAGCCAAATGCTAAGATGAGAGAACCAGCTCCTTGCACACATAAAACCCAAACCCACCACTGCAAACTACTTTCCATCTTGGAAAATTTGTGCCAGACAGTGGAGAGATTCAGAAAATTCCAGTTATGCTGTCAGTCCTCAGGCGAGCAACACAAGCACCGTCTTGCAGAACAATTCTGATAGACACAGGTAGTGAATCAGTATTTTTTTTTTAAATTAACCTTAGATGCAAAGAGCCAGCTTTGCTCTTGCACAAATTCCCACACCCTCAAGAAAAAGTTTAAGCCCTAAATATCGATATTTTCCAGAGCATTAGAAGATAAGCAGCCTTCAGGAGCCACCATGCCAGCAGCCCACCCTTCAGCTCACGCACCACCCGTGGCAAAACTGCAGCTCTCCACGATATAAGAAATGACTTTGGAAACTTGTTATTAGCTCAGAGGTTTGGGTACTGCACCGGACCAACGCACTGTGGGAGGCTCTTTGCAAGAGTGAAAGCCGCAGAACTTGCAACTGTTTATTAATAAAACCAACTATTTTTGTTTCCTTGTTTTACAAGGGGAGGCTAAACGCCACCTCTGTACACTGCATTCTGAGGAGCTAAAATGAAAGCTGAAAAATAAGTACCTAGAGTTTTAACAAGATAAAGTCTCATTCTAAGCCTTCACATATCGTTGCTTTTTAACAATAAACAAGTGCCTGTATCTGAGCTACAACACGACACTTACCAAATATGCATACACTCTACACAAGTGCCCTGACATCATCTCAGGAAAATTAATAGCTTAAAACCATAGTATTCCATATAAACCTTGTTCGCAGCGAATTTCCAAGCTACTTGTCTTGTAGAAGAACTGCTACTTTCAAAGCATTGCAAGACACCATTAGCAATAAAAGTGGTTTTAAGAGACCATTACAGTACCTACGGATCAGAATAACTCGGCTTTATTTCTTGCAGCAGCTATTTCCCAAATGTAACAGTGAGGGCAATAGCTATATATCTGTCTTTCTCGTTATACATTACAAAGTGGAACATCAGCTCTATTGCTTTAGACAGAAAGAGAAGATCAAATGCTAGGTCATTAGTAAGAATCCATTTAACAAAGTTCACCATAAATGTAATGAAAATAATGGTCAAAAACCATTACAACGAAGAAGAAAAATTCCACATGTGAAAAAAAAAATAAAATACGTTCAGGTTTTTGCCTGTAATTTGAACTTCTGCAGACATAAAAGTGGGTAATGCACTATATATCTTGCCTCACTTTTAGTTCTCCTTGACATCTGTCTTGTGTGTGTTTGCCACCGTGAAAGCCTGGCACAAAGATTTCAATAAGGTCTTATGGAGTCACTGCTAAAGTTTGTTTTCTCCCAATTAAAGCAGCTATTAAAGGCCAGTCTCAACAAGTAGCAGTCTTTAATTGGAAAGAAAAATGCCTAACGATAAATAAAAGGCAGACACATCCACCAATTAAAAATGTGACAAGATCTCTCTCTCTCTCTCAAAAAAAAAATAGCATTTGCTAAATGCCAGGTTGCTTGTTTCAGAGTACAAAAGCTGCTTCCATGGGCTACCAGCAAAACAAAAGGTTGAGAAAAATCAATATACATACACATGCTTGTCCTTGGAAGGATAAAAATATTCCCCGAGTTGCCCTCCAGCAGAGGACCAGAATTTTCTCCAGGGTCTGCACTACTTTTAAAGAGATGGTATCGAGGCCCACGTGACTGGTATTAGACTTGTACAACAAAAGCTCCTGGTCAGCATCACCACCTGGCAAAACATCTTGTATTTAAGGAACTTCAAGGAACCTTCTCATACTTCAAGGACACAGTACATGTTTGGAAAGTAGGAATGTAAAGGTGCAAATATAATCGGTACAAAACGGTTTTTCTCACAGGAAACACCTTCCAAAGAACAA